TGATTCTCTGTGTCATGAAGATCTTTTTTGTATAGTTCTGTGTATTCTTGCTACCTGTTCTTAATATCTTCTGCTTCTGATAGATCCATACCATTTCTGTCCTCTATTGTGCCCATCTTTGCATGAAAATTTCCCTTGGTATCTCTAATTTTCTTGAAGAGATCTCTAGTTTCATGGTACATAGTGGGCATATGTAATTGCCAAATGAATGAATGAAAGACTAGGCAAATAATGTCATTTAAATATTAGCTAAATATGTTTCCTAGTTCATGAGATTTTACTTGTTTTTGTTTTCCCATGTATATAGACACCAAAAGCAAAACTTTTAAAAATAATTTATTTGTTCATTTATTTATTGGTTACGTTAGGTCTTCATTGCTGCATATGGGCTTTATCTAGTGGCCATGATCAGGGGTTACTCTTTGCTGTGGTGCAAAGGTTCTGCACTGTGGTGGCGTCTCTTGTGGAGCACAGGCTCTAGGGCGTTTGAGCTCAGTAGTTTGTGGCACTTGGGCTCAGTAGCTGCAGCTCAAGTGTTCTAGAGAAAAGACTCAGTAGTTGTGGCACACGGGCTAGCTGTTCTAAGCCATGTCGAATCCTCTTAGACCAGGGATTAAACCCGTTTCCCCTACATTGACAGGCAGATTCTTACCCACTGCACCACGAGGGAATCCAGCACAACTATTTAAAGGCTATAACTTCTTAAATGAATTTATAAATTAATGGCAAATCCAAACACATTTTAATGATTTATTTTATTTGAAATCTTGCCAAAGTGAGTCTGAAATTCAACAGTAAAAACAAACATTTGAAGATAATAATGATAAAATAAATGGCGTTTAATATTCTTATTTAAAGATATCTGTTCACTTTTGCAGTGTGCCTCAAAGGATAATATTGAGGAATGAAATTTCTGGTTTGTAAGATATGCATATCTCTAACTTTGCTAAATATTTTAAAATGATCTTGAAACCAGTGGACGCACATTTAATATCCCATTGGCAATGCATAAGTATTACTATTTCTCCATATCATCACTAATTTTTTAGTATTTTTTGATTTTTGTTCTAAGTATATGCCAATTTAAGTAGTGTAAAAGTGGTTTTCACTGCTTTGTTCTTAGTACTGAGATGGTTGAGGTTGATTTGATAAAAAATTTTTGCCTATATTTCTCCTGGTAAGTGCATGCCTTTATCTTTCATTATTTCTATTTTTCCTATTTTTATTATTTTTCATATCCATGAATTTCATAATATACATTCTTTTTTATTTAATTTTTAAAAATAATGAATCACAAATTTGATTTCAAAATGTAAACTTCACTAAACATGCATACACGTTAAAACAGTAAAATTTACAGTTTCATTAATTTTTTTTTCCTTTTGCATAGGGCATTATTACAATATATAATCTATGTCTTACAAAATACATACAAAGTTTTATCCAAGCAAGCCAAGGCAAGACTGGGAACTGTAAAACTGTACTACTTCAGTGTAGATGGGGAAAGGCGAAATGTGGCCTTCGGAAGCATGGTGTGGTGCTGGTTGGAAAAAAAAAAAAACACAAGTTCCTACAGGTAAGGAAAACGTGTTCAGATGGAAATGGTCTTGGACCCTTGGAGTCTAACGTGGGATTTGGCAAACAATCTCAGAGAAGCTCCATCAATAGCTTTGGGAGGAGGAGGCCCATCTGAGAAGGCCAGGGAGGTTGAGACCCCGAGTGCACCCAGCATACAGATTCCCAGGCTGATTCCTGACCAGTGGGATCCATAGCGGCCCTGCCTCCAACAATGCACGGCTGCTCAGCTACCCTCCAGCCCTCAGGGGCCTTGGCCCTTGGGACAAGGACTCTCCAAGGTGAGCCTCCCACCACACGCCCAGGCACCCTGACTCAGGAATGGACCCTGGGAGGTGGCCCCCCTGCTCCAGGGATGGCAGGCTGGCCTAGGACATGTGCCCCTGAGCTGAGCAGGGGAGTCAGCCTTCATCCAGACCTCTGGCTGCCCGGCAGGCATTCAGCTTGGTTTCCAAACAAACATATGCAACAGCCTGTAGCCATGTCGCCAGGAAGATGTCTCCAAGCCCTGGGAGAAGGTGCTCATGCACCACTCCCCTACCTCCCATGCCTCCTGCTTCCCCCACAGGGAACGCAGGGTGTTCAGGGCAGGGGAAGCCATTTGCTCCAATCCGGTTCCTCTTTAAATAAAAGTAGTAAGGTTTTAAAGCTCCATGAGAAGGGGACAGGCAGGGTGGGGCCGGGGGGCACACTGCGAGTCCCATATGGCAAGAAGGGTAAGTAGAAATCAAGCATGGCCCTGGGCTCCTGCCTCCCCCCACATCCAGCTCTTCTAACTGATGAGAGACAGAGTAGCCGACGGGGGAAGGGCCTCTCCTGAAACGGTGTTCAGGCATGTATCAGTAGTAAACTGGATGGTTCATCTGAGTTCTGGTACAAAATTCTCTGGAATGTGTCTGGGACCAACCTTTGAAGCTCAAGTCTTGGAGTCAAGAGAGTCAGTTACAGGACCTGGCCAAGTCTTGGAGTTAAGAGAGTCAGTTACAGGACCTGGCTTTCCGCAGGGCGATCCTGTATATTCTTTTTTATTTTTTCAACTATATTTCAATTACTTTCTTAATTGTTTAACATAGAGACCATGCACATTTCTGTTGGATTAAAGTACCATAGATTTTGTTGCTATTGCTATAAATTTTAAAATATGCATTCCTAATGGTGGCTTTACATAAAAATGTGTTTGTGATTTTATTTATTTGCTTTGAACTCAGCAAATTTCTTGAAATATCATTAGTTTTAAAAATCTATCTCTAGAGGTTTATGGGTTTTCTCTGTAGAAAAATCCTGTCATTCGTTAGTAAAGATATTTGTCTTTCTTCCTGTGTGATCGTAAGCCTATTTCTTTTCATTGTTCTATTATGTCAATTTGGATAACATTAGCAGAAAACGGTGTCCTGGGGATTCTAGGGTATACAATGTGTTGTTGACTATATGAGATAAAGAAAAGATCAGGATGTGTCCATAGTGACCCACAAAATAATTTACATATAAAATTTAATTGCTCTGACAATATCAGGAAAATGCAAAGGTCATTGGTCATAAGGTAAATGTATTAGCTACAAAGTGTCACTCTGAAGTAATTTGTTGAGAAACCTGTGCTGTAGCTTTCCCATTGACATATGTGTTTCCAGACTTCTCACAATAAAGCACCCAGCAGCCATCTCATCTCTTTCAAATCTAATTCCAGATCCAAAGGATCCTGCCCTCTCACAGCCATTTCTGACCTAGGACTGGCACTTCTACTGCAAACACTCTTGGTCAAAGAAAGTGTGAACAATCATTTAATCAGTGTGTGTGTGTGTGTGTGTGTGTGTGATTCTTAATTTCTTAAGGCTGGCTCTTAGTAAATAGTCCTTTTTTGACCACTTTTTCTCTACTTCCAGCACATGGGATTTCTTTTATAGAAAGAATAGCTTTCTATGGTTCTTACTATCAATTTAAAGTTACTACATTGCTTCCTGATCTTTTCCTAGGAAGATTCAAGACTTATAGGAACATGAACAGGCCTTGTAATAGCATTATAGGAAAATAATTTTCTATATATTTAGCAGGTATAAATGAGTTGTTCTTCAAAACCTCTCAGATAATATGTGGTACTGACTTGCTGTGACTGTGTGGATCACAACAAACTGTGGAAAATTCTTTAAGAGATGGGAATAACGGACCACTTTACCTGCCTCCTGAGAAAACTGTAGGCAGGGCAAGAAGCAACTGTTGGAACTGGACTTGGAACTACGGGCTGGTTCAAAACTGGGAAAGAAGTACGTCAAGGCTGTATATTGTCAGCCTGCTTATTTAATTTATATACAGAGTACATCATGCGAAATGCCAGGATGGATGAATCACAAGCTGGAATCAAGATTACAAGGAGAAATATCAATAACCGCAGATACGCAGATGACACCACCCTAATGGCAGAAAGAACACAGGAACTAAAGAGCCTCTTGATGAAAGTGAAGAGGAGAGTGGAAAAACTGGCTTAAAACTCAACAGTCAAAATACTAAGGTCATAGCATCCAGTCCCATCATTTCATTGACAAATAGGTGGGGAAAAAGTGGAAACAGTGGCAGGTTTTATTTTCTTGGGCTCTAAAATCACTGCAGATGGTGACAACAGCCACAACATTAAAAGATGCTTGGTCTTTGGAAGAAAATTTATAACAAACGTAGACAGTATATTAAAAATGTGAGATATCACTTTGCTGACACAGGTCCATATAGTCAAAGCTATGGTTTTTCCAGTAGTCATGTACTGATATGAGAGTTGGACCATAAAGAAGGCTGACCATTGAAGAACTGATCCTTTCTCATTGTGGTGCTGGAGAAAACTCTTGAGTTCCTTGGACTGCAATAAGATCAAACTAGTCAGTCCTAAAGGGAATCAATCCTGAATGTTCATTGGAAGGATTGTTGCTGAAGCTGAAGCTCCAATACTTTGACCACCTGATGCAAACAGCCAGTTCATTGGAAAAAACCCTGATGGTGGTAAAGATTGAGGGCAGGAGGAGAAGGGAGCAAAAAAGGATGTGGTGGTTGTATGGCATCATTGATTCAATGGACTTGAGTTTGAGCAAACTCCAGGAGATAGTGAAGGACAGACAGCGAAGCCTGGTGTGCTGTAGTTCATGTGATCACAAAGTGTCAGACATGACCTAGTGACTGGACAACAACAACTGACTTGCTAGGATTGGCAGAAGCAGCAACTTCTAGTACAAGGATAAGAGATGTTTGAGAAAGTAGCAAATTAGTTATAGCTTTACCAGTTCTTCCTTGGGTAGAGGAACTTCTTCTATGGAGAGAGGTAACTATCTTCTCCCCATAAAAAAGTCAAATATTCTCAGGCGGATCTGTTTGGTGTTAATGCCATAGACCAAGGGGTTGAGGACAGGGGGCATAAGGAGATAGAGATTTGCAAGTACAATATGCACGTGAGGAGGTATTTGCTGGCCAAAGCGGTGGGCGAAAAAGGAAAAAAAGGCAGGTACATAGAATACAAGAATCACACATATGTGAGCTCCACAAGTGCTAAATGCTCGGAACTGGGCATCCTTGGAGGGCAGGCGCAGCACAGCCCGCAGGATCAGGGCATAGGAAGTGGCGATGAGGACCATATCCATGCCGGTGACTGAAAGGGCCACGGTGAGACCATAAATGGTGTTGGGCCTGATGCTGGCACAGGCCAGTTTGGCAATGCCCATATGTTCACAGTAGGTGTGAGGGATGATGTGATGTCCACAGAAAGGTAAGCGTTCTATGAGTATGACAAAGGGGAAAACAAAGAGAAGGCCACGGACCACACATGCCAGACCAATCTTCCCAATCACCATGGCGTTGAGGATGGATGCATAATGAAGTGGACAGCAGATAGCCACGTAGCGGTCAAAAGCCATGGCCAGCAGAACAGCTGATTCTGTGGCAAAGATTGCATGCACAAAAAACATCTGGGTGAGGCAGCCTTGGTAGGATATTATGTGGGACTTAAGCCAGAAGATTGTTAGCATTTTGGGCAATGTGGTCGAGCAGAGTACCAGGTCAGTGATAGACAGCAGGCACAGGAAGAGATACATCGGCTCGTGCAGAGTTCTCTCCTTCGTAATGATGTAGAGGATGGTTCCATTGCCAATCAGAGCGAGGATATACATGGAGCAGAAGGGGATGGCAGCCCAAATGTGCTGGTCTCTCATCCCAGGGATCCCAAGTAGAATAAATGTGGAAGGATGGAAGGTAGTGTCATTGGGGACAGATGCAGAAACCATAATGATGCAGAGAATCAGGCTTTATCTTTTTGAAAGCTATTATAAGGTGAAATAAATTCATCCTAGATACAATCTATTTCTCCTACAAATCTTTAATTTCATACCTTTCTTCCATTTCTACCAGTTCTACTCCAAATCATTCCTTCCTCATTTCTTTCCTGAGTAATTAAAACAGCTTTGTAACTAATATGCTCACTTCTGAGATTTTCATCTTCCAGTGAAACCTCTCCATTTTTGCCTAATATTCTAACATGTGAAAATCATCAACTATTAATATCATGCAAATATAACCTTTCTTAGTGCATGCTGTGAGGAATATCTTGTATATTTCTCCTTTGGTCGATTCTCTGCCACTTTCTATCTTGTTCTGGTCCCTGAGACACTGGGCTACCTTGACAGATTTCCTTGCCCTCTCATTTCTGGTTTGATGTGACAATGGGAAACACCATCTGGCGACTGGAGGGAGGTCAGGGATTTTTTCCTTCAGCTTTCCCCCAGCAAGGTTGCTGCAAGCTGGACATACCTCTCTGCTAGCAGCCTTTTTGGCTTTGGTTTTCTCTTTTAGCCATACTTCTCCTCTTGTTCCTTTGGTCCAAGGGTTGTGACAGTGCCTGCTATCACTAACCCGATAACATCATATGCACTTGTAGTTTTCTTACACTTACACCCACACCTTTGAAAGTGGTTTCCATGTTATGTATGCTATGAAGAAAAGATACATAAGCCAGTTCCTGCTTAGAGAAAGCTCCGCTGAGGAAATTAAATTTAGTCTCCAAATCTGAGTTTTCCTCAAATGCTTCAAGCATCTCTTATACAACTCAGTTTCCAGGATTGTCACCCTCTTTATGTGGTCCAGTCTGGAAAATAAGAGACTAGATTTAGACTGCTGGGTTCAAAATCTGATCTGGTTGCTGTTACTTGCTAACTGTATTATCCTCAGCAAATATTTTATTCTCCTCAGTCTTCAGTTTTCCAATATAAATTTCAGATAATAATGTTTTAGGGTTTTTTCAAATAATTAATTGAGAAAATCATATAAAGTACATAGTGCAGTCCTATATTTTAAGAAACATTTGTTACAATACTCACTAATACTTCTTGTGCTTTTGCAATGTCTGAGTCAGTTAGTCTAACTATATATTTGCCTTTCAGAAGAGGAAACTTTATTTAGTCTCTCAATTTGAAAGGCATATTGGTCTTTCTTGAGCTTATAAGCCATGGTTGAAGGCACTGTGGTTTCACCCTCTTTTAAATCAAGAACTGTTTTCAGAGATAGCCAAAACTAGTCCTCAGTTAGTTAGATTAGGTGGACTCTCTCAAGATACGAGATGGATGGCTCCTCAATGAGCTCATCAACATGGCAATGTCATTGAGGTCCCCTCATTAATCTTCCTTGGGAGCAAAAGACAATTCTGATATATGAGTCTTTTAAAATAAAGGGAATGTGTTTTGTGCTGCCACCAAGAAAGAGTAAAGATGAAGGCATGCATATCATTTCTGTTAAAGGAAGAACTTCTCTTAGACTATTCAATAAGACAGAGATCTGATTTTGCCATGGACAGGACAAACAGAACCTGGGGTAATGCAACAGGTATTCCTAGCTTTGTGGACTTTGAAACTTTCTGTGTGAGAAATTGTAGGACAGAATTAAGAGAATTAGATTTGGAGGATGGAATCCTCAGGCATGGAGGAGATTGGAAATCTAAGTTTGCTGATTCCCTATGCTTTCTGAGAGCACTATAGGGTCCTAGGTACTCAGGTATAAGGTTGCTTTCTAACAAATGTATGTATCTTTACTCCCGCCTGGCTGGCCTGACTGATAGTGAGAACAAGATGCAGAATGAGACGTTCTTACCTCATTATTGCTTTAAGAAAAGCTACTCTTAGAGCTTGGATTGACTTATCTTGAACCCATAAGTGAAATAGTAAGGGACTAAAATCTCTAACTGCAACAAAACAACTGAGTTACAAATAAAAGAAAGACTTACTGATGGTTCACTTTGGCATGCAATAAGGCTGCCCTAATACTTGAAGGATTCAAGAAACTGTACCTCCTGTACTGGAGTTGGATGCCAATCTGAGATGACTTCTGGAGTAGACAAGGACATCAATATGTTTGTAGGACTGTTATCCCTCTGTATCTCCTCCCTACCTCTGCTCTTGGCTTTACAGAACAGTCTTCAACATTTTTCTAGCCTTTTTGTCCATTAAACACTTACTCCCAGCACTGGTGGTCAGTTGCACTAGAGAAATCTTGATCCAGAACAAAATAGTATATGTCCAGGATCTGAGATTTTATCTCATTTATCTCTACCCTCTGAAGGCCTTTTAGACCCAAAGGGGCTGTGGTGTGGCTCAGAGCACCAGTCCTCCCGGCTGCTAAAAGTAAAAGCGAATTTGCAAAGAAGATCTCTGGGGAAACACAGTCATGTCAGAGTCTTCTCTTAAATGCTGGACATTTTTTTAAGTCAGGAGGGATCATCACTCTCTCACAGTAAGTTAATACTCACTCAGCCCTTGAGAAAAAGATGTATTTTGCCAAATTGTATCAAACTATTGAGAAGGGAAATTCAAAGAGAAAGGAGGCAACATGGAATAAAAATAGACTGGGAAGCAATCTACCTGGAGTTGGATTTTGCACAACTTCCTTTGGATCTCCTGTTCTCAAGAAAATAATCACTATGTTTGATCTGAATTCCTCTAGCTTGAGCTTGAATCTTTATTCTCTTAACATTTTGTGACTCCATTTGGGTAACGTTTGTTCTTTTTTCCTTCATCTAATTGTACCAGATGATAAGCTATATACACAAAGGTACTGTTAGTTATAGTCCAGTACAACATACATGCTTTTCCAACAATGCTCTAAGGAAGTTACATATTATTCTTCTGAAATATTCTTCAGTGTTTTCCATCAAACTCTCACTTGGTTCAGCTAGGTATCCTGGAGGGGAAATGCCAAATTGAATGTTAGGTTGATTGGGTCAAGAAAAATTCCTATAAATTAAGGCAACATGGAAAGTATGTACTTGGGAAATATGTGACAGGAAACAATGGCATTTCCTCCCAGAATAGGACCATCATCTAAGATTATCTAGGACTAGAGTGATTCTGAGCTATGGGAATATGGCTTTCCAAGGAAAAGGAGACATGGCGAACTCAGATTTATTTCAAGTGTACTCACTGGGCAGATCTCACATCATCGTAAACATCTTAGTTATCCTGTCACCACTCTTCTCCCTCTCACGCCCCAGATCTAGTATCTGATTCACTGGTATTGAACTATAAATACATATTCAGTGCAAAATGCTATTCCCAATTTGTCTGTGAATTTCATGCAAGTTGGTGTTTAAATTTGTGCAAGATTTTTGAAAAGTTATTTGAGAGTAAGTATGAAGAAACTTGGGGTCTCCCAGGTGACTATAGTGGTAAAGAATCTATCTGCCTGCTAGTGAAGGAGTTGTAAAAGACAAGGGTACAATCTCTGGAAGATTCCCTGGAGGAGGGCATGGCAACCCACTCCAGTGTTCCTGCTTGGAGAATCCCATGGACAGAGGAGCCTCGCGGGCTGCACTCCATAGGGTTGCAACACTTTTAGAGTTGGATACTGCTAAAGGGCCTTAGCACACATGCATAAAGAAACTTGAAAGATGATTTCCTTTATTCTAGTGCTCACACACAGAAGAATCTATTTTATACAGGAAATAGAGCAGATGGGACTGAGAGATATACAAATTTGAGTCCTAGCTCTGATATTTACTAACTGAGAAATTTCAAATACATTTTCAATTTTTCAAATTCTCAGATTCCTCATCTGTAAAATAAAGCTATTAATTATACTTAAAGTTGGTGGTTCCAAAACTTTACTGTAGACTGGAAACTCCTGGGGCTTTTTATTATGAAAACTGCTGATGCATTAATCCTACCCATAACCATGCTGATTTAATTGATGCAACATGAAACTTGGACATTTACAGCAAGTGAATTATCAAGGCCATGAAGTAGACTGTATCTGATGTGTTTGAGATTCAGGAAGGCAAGTAAGGCAAGAGTGAGGGGGGCGGGTAAACAGGAGTAGATGAGACCAGAGACAAAAAGGCAAGGTTGGCTGGATTCTGCAATAGAGGTTTTTTAATTCTCATATGTCTGACTTGTCTTTCCTTTCTGTATATGTGCTTCTGATGTATGTAGATGGGGCCATGTGGCAGGCTGAACTTCCTAGTGGCTCAGTGGTAAAGAATTCACTTGCCAATGAAGGAGATTCAGGAGACCCAGGTTCGAACCCTGGGCCGGGAAGATCCCTTGGAGGAGGAAATGGCAACCTGCTCCAGTGTTCTTGCCTGGAAAATTCCATGGAGAGAGGAGCTTGGCAGGCTACAGTCCATGGGGTTGCAAAGAGTTTGAACACGACCGAGCAACTGAGTGCGCATGTTCACATGTGGCTGGTTTTAGCCAATGAAGTTAGAATAGAAATGACAAGTGTCCTGTTACTGAAAAAGTACAATAAAGTACGTGTGTGCATGTGCACATGCATGCTAGGTAAAGGAGAGTGAAAAGGAGAAAGCATTTGTACTAAACAGTAATTCTAGGAATGAACCTTAAATTCATGCTGGAAAGGAGGAGAAAAAATGAGGCAATATGAAAATGTAATGAGTTTTATTATTACTGCATTGAAATTGAAGGATTATTGCACTGGGATTCAAGAGAAAGTGAATTAGAAAACAGGAGGTAATGGGTCAGGATCTGAATGCTTACATATTGTGAAGAGTGTGTGTATATATACACATATATACACACACACATATAACCACACATATATATATATATTTCCATATTATATATGTATGTATTTCCAAACAATGAAATTGATGAAGTAGAATGGTTAAGAGTTTTGGAGAAAAATCCAGAGTACTGAAAATCAAACTGTTTCAGTTATTTGTAACTGCATTACAAACTACTTCCCCAAGGTAGTGATTTAAAACAATTTATTATTATCTGTTATT